CCCACCCTAACCTGCACATCCCTGGGCACTACGGGACAATTTAGCACGGCCAATCCACCCTAACCTGCACCTCCCTGGGCACTAGGGGACAATTTAGCACGGCCAATCCACCCTAACCTGCACATCTTTGGGAGGAAACTAGAGTACCTGGAGGAAACCTGCGCAGGCACAGGGAGAACATGCAAATCTCCTGAATGGTCAGGAGTCACATGTAAGCCAACACTTTTCCTTGCCCAACAACTTCATTGAACTCAATGGGTTTATGTGACAACCAGCTGCGGTTATATAGCCCACTCCCTCCCCCAAACTAGATTTTAACACCAACCTTGCACGCTGCCCTGATGATATCTGAACCTGACGGCATTAGCCTGAGCCTCTCATTATCCAACATCTCACCACTGGAGCCTTTCTAGTTAAAAATGGTGGAGGAATGAGGCCAATTTCTGACATTGGTCAGGAATATCTGAAGGACAATGGTGGAGGGGGAGGGAGTAGTTTAAAAACAAAACATAGAATTTCACAGTATGAAGGAAGCCATTCAGCCCCTCATTTCTGTACCAACCCCTGAAAGCGCTACACAGCTAGTCCCACTGTCCAGCCCTATCTCAATAACCCTGTAAATTCATCCCTTTCAAACATATATCCAGCTCTGTTTTGAAACCTCCTATGGAATCCACCGCCACCACCCTCCCAGGCAGCACATTCCAAATCCTAACATCTCTCTGAATGAAGAAGTTTCTCCTCATCTCACTCCTAGCTGTCATGCTGACAGTCTTGAAATTGTGACCCCCTGGTTACTGACACACCAACTAGTGGGAACAGAATGTCTTTCTTTCCCTTGTCAAAAATGTTCCTAATTTTGACACCTCAACAAGGTCACCTCTTAATCAAACAAAATTTGGGGTCATACAGATGGCACTGTAAGTAGCAGCTGATAAATTTTTCACTGTACTCTTTTGAGTACATGGGACAATAAAGCAAATTCAATTCAATTCAAGATGGTTCTGGTTGTTGGGTAAGAATCTCTACAGTAGCAGAACACTGTAGTCAGAGTCCCCTGAAAATAGCCTTGGCCTGACCATTATTGCCCTTCCCTCTATCCATGCGCGGTATTAATGATGATAAAACCCATCACACTCCATCACTAATCAGGCAGCTACTGCCAGTGGGAATTGGACAGAGTGGCACCGGAAGAGGCCATTGGGCCTATCAGTGTGGTGCTAGCCCCCTGGAGGAGCAATTCATTCAGTGTCTCTCACCCACCTTTTCCCCATTGCCCTGCTGGTTCTCTTCCTCATTTCAGTAATTCCTCGTTGAGATCCTCATCGAGAGCCTGTGTGAACCATGCTCTCAGACAACACATTCCGGATCCACATCACTCACTGTTTGAAAATGTTTCCAGACCTTTGAAAAAGTGACAGCCCGGAGAGAAGCCATTCGGCCCATAGTGTCCGAGCTGGCTGCCTGCTCTTATCCCACTCTTAGAGCCATAAAGTCATACAGCACGGAAACAAACCCTTCAGTCCAACTCATCCGCCCCAACCATATCTCCCAATCTGACCTAGTCCCATTTGCCAGCATTTGACCCCCTATCCCTCTAATCCCTTCCTATCCATGTCCCCATCCAGATGCCTTTTAAATGCTGTAACTGTACCAGCCTCCACCACTTCCTCTGGCAGCTCATTCCATACACGCACCATCCTCTGTGTGAAAAAGTTACCCCTCGGCTCCCTTTATAAATCTTTCCCCTCTCACCTTAAACCTATGCCCCTCTAGTTTTGGACTCCCCTACCCTGGGGAAAAGACCTTGGCTATTCACCCTATCCATGCCACTCATGATTTTATAAACCTCTATAAGGTCATCCCTCAGCCTCCAAGGCTCCAGGGAAAATAGCCCCAGTCTATTCAGCTTCTCCCTGTAGCTCAAACCTTCCAACCCTGGCAACATCCTTGTAAATCTTTTCTGCACCCTCTCAAGTTTAACAATATCCTTCCTGTAGAAGGTGACCAGAATTGTAAGCAGTATTCCGAAAGTGGCCTCACCAATTTCTGGAATCTCACTTCAGGGACAGAGTTGAGAGTATCCACATCAATAACCGAAATGGGCAGTGAATTCCAGATGCCCACCTCCCTCTTAGGAGTTAAATTTTCACTATGTCCTCTCTAAGCCTTCTACCAACTGTTTTGAATGTGTGCCCCCTGTTTTTCCAGTCTGTGAGCAGAAAGAGGTTCTCGTTGTCCACTCCATCAAAGCCCCTCGTTATTTTGTACGCCTCACTTCAGTGACGCCTTCAGTGTCCTCTCTTTGAAGGAAAACAACCCCAGACTATTTAATTTCTGAAGAAGGGTCTCGACCTGAAATGTCAGCTTTCCTGCTCCTCTGATGCTGCCTGGCCTGCTGTATTCCTCCAGCTCCACACTGTGTTATCTCTAACTCCAGCATCTGCAGCTCTTGCTATCCCAGACTATCTAATCTTTCTTAGCTGCAATTTGTAAAACCTTGGCAACATTTTTATAAATCTTCTCTGTATTCACCTCAGAACAACAATTTCCTTCCCGTAATGTGGTGACCAGAACTGTATACAGAGCTCTAACTGTGGCCTAACCATTGCCTTATATAGCTCCAGGGCTGCTTTTGTACCCCAGCTATTCACAGTACAATTTACACAAGGAAACTAAATGTAATATCTCCAAATTTGCTGATGACACAAAGCTTGAGGGAGTTTCAGCTGTGAGGAGAATGCAGAGATACTTCAGTGTGATTTGGACAAGTTGAGTGAGTGGGAAAATACATAACAGATATAAAATGGATAACTATGAGGTTATGCACTTTGGTAGCAAACGCAGGAAGGCAGATTATTATCTGAATGTTGATAGATTGGAAAAGGGGGAGGTGCAACGAGATCTGGGTTTCCTTGTGTACCAGTCGCTGAAAGTAAGAATTGCATTAGCAGCAGCTGGTAAAGAAGACAAAGGTTATGTTGGCCTACATAGAGAGAGAATTCAAGTACAGGAGCAGGGATGTCTTGCTGCAACTGTACAGGACCTTCATGAGACCATGGAATGTTGTGTGCAGTTTTGGTCTCCTTATCTGAGGAAGAATGTTCTTTCTGTAGAGAGAGTGCAACAAAAGTTTACCTTAATTAATTTCTGGAAAGGCAGGGCTGACATATACAGAGAGACTGGATTGGTTATACTCATTGGAGCTTCGAAGAATGAGGAAGGATCTCGTAGAAACTTATAAAATTCTAACAGAACTAGAGAGGGTAAACGCAGGAAGGATGTTCCTAATGACTGGAGAGTCCAAAACCAGGGGTCACAGTCTACAGATAGAACATAAGGACTGAGATGAGGTAAAATTTCTTCACCCAGGGAGTGGGGAGTCTGTGGAATTCTCTGTCATAGAAAGTGGTTCGGGCCAAAACATTGAATGTTTTCAAGAAGGAGTTAGATATAGTTCTTGGGGCTAAAGGCATCAAAGGGAGAAAGCAGGAACGGGGTCTGAACTGGATGATCAGCCATGATCATGTTGATGGGCTGAATGGCCTACTCCTGTTCTATTTTGTATCTATTCAGTGCCTCATATAATGAAGGAAAGCCTTCTTTACCACCTTATTGACCTGTCTTGTAAGTTTCAGAGTCCTGTCAACGTACACTCTTAGGTCACTCTACCCCTTCTCAATACCCTCTCATTAATTGTCTAAACCTTTTTTTTAATCTCTCCCCAGATATATAACCACATACTCAGAGTCATAGAGTCCTACAGCATGGAGACAGGCCCTTTGGCCCATACTGGTCAATGCCAACCCCAAAATGTCCATCCACGCTAACCCCATTTCCCTGCACTTAGCCTATATCCTTCTAAACCTTTCCTATCCACTGTAAATCTACATTTACCATGGCCAATCCACCCAATCTGAACACTCCTGGGCACCACAGTCAATTTAACATGACCAAACCACCTAACCTGCACATCT